GAGTACTACTACAAGCAGTCAAACAAAGAGCAATAAATTTAGATGCAGACAGCCAATTTCCGAACGAATGCCTGGATTCAACATTCTATAACGATAATTTGGAACAATGTACTGTAAATCTTCTACCGAGTGGTAAAACGAACAATATCTCGATAGTTATTCATTATCAACATAAGAAGGACTCTATTTTTAGTTTTAATTACTGTATACCTAGTTTTTTGATATGTGCAATCTAAGACATACTACAAATTATTTTAAAATCGAGTTATCAATAGAATTTCATTTCATTGGCAAGACAAAAAAAGTGTTTAATATTTTCTACAAATCGTCAAAAATAAAATGAAGCAAATGTCATTAGATTTTGTTCATTCGTTAGGTTTGTCATTCAATGGATCAAATATAATTTGTTATGTAACATTTCCTTGCAAATGCAACTTTGACTTTAAATGGCCATCTTTAGTTTTAGTATGTATAGAGAATACATTATTCTTATTATAGCTATCATGTATAGCGATGGTTATGTTATGGCAAAGCTTGGTAATATCGTTGAAACTACCCTACCCTAAATACGTTATCTTTAAAGAACGGGGTCTCTACAATAAACTACAGACTTGGGATAAATAACTGTTGAAGAAAATTACTTCGTTGAAATTTCTTTGGTCGGCCATTGGGCGTCTACTTCACATGTTCTCAACTAAAAGACAATGGCATCGCTTATCGCAAGTTTTAACACGAGTGCACGACACAAATGGAAAGTAAATAATTCTATATATTTTTCACCCTTGTTCCTTTCATTCTTCATCGCTGTCCGTGTACTTTGTTTTCGTCGGAACTCCATTTCTTGATACACAGATAAGCTCACCGGCTAAGTTAATGCGTGTGAAAGATAATTTTTTCCTCGAACAAATCGCGTGCAATGGCCACTAAAAACTTAACGATCCGTGCGCTCTCTATTCGCCTTGCCCGTTCCGTTTTCCCAAATTGATTCATTTGTCGACGTCTAATGCCTATTCCGAAAATCCGCACGGATACATATTAGTTAGTCGTCATTGAGACTAGTAATACTAGCAATAAGATCAGCACCAGTAAAGTTTAGACCGACGAATTTAATGGGAAACCCAAGTGGAAACAAAATCACCGAATACCATCGAAAAAGGTTAGAGGGGTTAAAAAGGGCTTAATATTTAAGCTGATTACGTGTAATCTGATTGGACAGTTTCGTAGAAATTAACGTTTAAAGTACAGACAATCTGTTAGAAGAGTAAACTTGCCAGGAGCAATGCAGCTCGTAAAAATAATAAAAAAGAACCCTGAAAACAACACTAGTCAATTATAGAATTAACGTATAAGGAAATCAACTTCTACAAAAGCTTAACCCAATACTCAAAGTAAGCACTAAAAATTTACTTGGTGATTTTTTGTTACTTACTGTAACTAAAAATTATCATATTTTTCCATACTGTAAAAAATGTGTTCATTTAAACATATTTTTATTTTATTGGAGGCTACCAACGAAATGTTGATTGTAAGTTATTCTAAGCAAAAATTTATCATCATTATTGTTTATTAAATAAAAAACGTCAGTTTTACTGTTTTAAAAACAATTTCCAAGCTATTAAAAAGCACAAAAGTTTCAAAACTGTATGATAAGTAATAAAAACAAACTCGTATAGAAAATAAGTATATGCAGTTTATTACATACTATTATTGATAAATGAAATATATTGGTCTTGAGATGATTAAGACATTTTGTGGCAAACCCAACCTTCCCCTCTTTATCATTTAATGTTTACTATAACATTACTTCTACGCACTTAACTTTTTTTTAAATCGACAGATATATTTTAACTCTATTGTGAATAATAAGGGTAATAAAAAGCAAATATCGTTTTCCAACTACATATCAATCATTCAGTTTTATTTTATTTTAAATAAGGCTATTTTTCAAATGTCATTAGAAAAATATACTACTTTTCAAAAAGAATATAAATTCAAAAAATACTTGCATGTACTTATGATGATACCTCAATATGTAACACTTAAGCCTTAGGTTATATTATTATTTAACTGTAAAATCGTTGAGAGAGGTGCACCTATCAGTGTAGGTGTACACGTGGGTGTGACGTGTGGTAAAATAATTTGTAACATTCGAATAACGCAACGTATGAGTAGTAATAAGTGAAAGAAAGACTTTGGGTAGTGTGAATTACTTCGTCATAAGATCCCTACGACAGCTTAATGGTGTTGATTATTTCTTCGTCTGTCGGTTCTTTTGAGAAAAGCAAAGCGTTTTGTTTCATACATCGGATAGGAATTTACAGATTTATAAACGCTGTCGACTAACATTAATTTTTTATGCCAGCAAAAAAATATTTTTGTGTAGTTAGTCAAACGATAGCTTTTCGTCGATGTCAATAATACGGTTTAGTCAAAATTAATCTTATCACGATATAATAAAAGTAATGTTTTATTATCAAATATTTATACAAATTAAATATGATTGATTAAATCGTCATCAATGCATTTGAAATACAAAAGCTCAGGCAAATATAGCTTTTGAAACACAGGAAAAGAAAATATTTATAGTTTTATAAATGATTTGAACATTAAATGAAAGATTTTTTTATGTTAAATAAAAATAAATACTTTTGATAAACATAAAATAAGGTCTTATTAATAAAAACTGTTATTTTGTACGCATTTACAGAAAATTAATTTGAAACTACCGATCACATTTTATAAAAGACCGTTAAATGTATTTCATAAACATTTATCCGTAAAGATGATATTTTTATGGATTTTTATTAAATTTCATTGACAAAACGATAAATCATTAGAAAAATAATTCAAAGCTTTAAATAAAAATGAAATGACTTCTCTGTTATTATATTTCTTTTTTATAGCCGGTCAAGGGGTTTAACCACATAAATAAAATGAAAAATGTGATAAGTATACTTTAGATTCAAACATAGTTCATAGTATTATACGAACAGCTTTTTCTGTTTTATAGTGCAAACAGCATGATAATTTGTCGTAAATATTTATTGAATGTAACTTTTTTTTTTTTTTTTTATATGAGTTGTACAATTGCTACTGTACGGCAAATTTATTCGAAATCAAAAAACATTGTCTAATTGAAAATACAATAATATTTGTTTCAGAAAAAACGAGTAGTAGTTTATTGATTAATATATTTGAAAAATATATGCGTTAATACCTAGAGATTTTATAACAAGATTTTTTAAGTATAATTTTATCTTTAGAAAGAAATAAAAAAAAACAATTAGAGTATAAAATATAACTTGTAATCTTAATAATAGCATGGCGTTTTTGTCTGTAGATTACATTGTGATTACTAAAGGTATACTACATACTTTTAAAAACTAATTTAAAATTATTCTTAAATCTTTTACGATTCAAGCTAAAACCTCTCGGAAATTTTAATATTATTGTTAGATAAACTCGATAAAGTCATTATGTTTATCGGTCCTTTGTGGTAAAGTCGTCAACCGTTACACGAAGTACCAGTTAATACAATACCACTGTAGTATTTTTTTCTAAAAGTTACTACCACGAGTGTCCTCTAGTCCAAGACATCTTAATATAAATTATTATCAAGTGAGTAATAAATAAATGGTAAGTTATTCTCAGATGACTCTTTCACTCATAAATAGAACGATGAATAATGTTTAAATCTCCATTTCTTAATTACATTCTAGACCATTATTTTATATTATAGCACGGCAGTGATAAAAAAAGTTTACCCTAGTGTAGTATACAGAATAAATTCGTTAAATTTAATTTGAGGTTTTTGAAATTTCTATAGACAATACCGAATTGATATACTCTATACAATTCAACCTTAGATCATTTCCAATATAAATTCACTGATATCATACTATATTGAAAAAAAAACACATGAACATGTATGGGTTATTTACGCAATAGTTGGACTAATGGATATTAGTGATGTTTATAGTATGTATTATTAATATTGCCAAAAAAATCTCAGAGTTAACAATTTTTGAAATGATAAGAGATAGTAGACGGCAGAAAAACTCGGCATAACTCCAAAAACAACTTTCCCGAATATACGGCGGCAATGCTAGGAAACTTTTTGTTTTTCGTTAAATAAAATATTTTCTCAGGACAATACAATCGCGAGTTAATAATTTTCTTCCCAATTACTACGGAAAAGTACATCGTTAAACCGATAGAATTGAACTGGCACATTGTTACTGAAAACCACTGTTTTTGTTTGGTTGTAACCAAAAACAAGACCCAAAGGGTATACGAATGCAAAACGACCAATAGGCCGTTCAATTGTGTCACATGACACGAAGTTTAAAATCATAGTCAGATTTAAGAGAGTGAGTCGTAGGCAACCGCACTACTATAAATCTTGACGGTGTACAATTAAATTCAAACAGTTAATTACGCCCTAAAAGTGCAATTAAAGCATCTATTAAACACGAAATTGAGAAATTATAACAAGACAATACAATTTTAAAATACGCCAAAAAAATTTTGAAACTATAAAGTTTAAAATTAATTCACTCAATTATGTTTCAAAAATATTTCAAGTTATTAATCTATGTATAAATATATAAACTATAGCAAATATATTATTAAGTAATTATTACTGGCTCTTTATGTTAAAAGTTTTTAATAAAAATGTTAAGATTTCATGATAAATCATTATAATTTTATTTTTAATTAGGTCAATGTATTTAACATATCCTCACGTGGAATTGTTTCTTTTAGAATATACTTTATATGCGAATGATTCACCTTATATTCGTTCAATTTACCTTTATGCGTATAAATGAAATTTTCATTATGATTTATTTAATTAAAATAATCGTGTTCATTATGAAGGAAATATAATTTGGCATAGAAATTTTCGGGACGATTTTTATGATCACAGCCTAAGTTTAGTTGTTTCTTCTATTTTTGTATGAACTGTCTAAAAAGCGTTAAAATAGTGTAGATACACTTACCCACACAACCACACTAACACAGAATATAGTGTACTTGAGCAGATTGATCTGTTTCTCCAATTTAGACGCCGCGGTTGCCAAAGATTTTGTACCTGAATTCATATCACACGTGGTTAATTGTTAGTTTAACATAAAATATCGCACTCGTGTCTGATTGCGACACGCGAACATAACAAACTAAGGAATGAAGTATGTGTTTGGTGCAATATTTACTCATTAACCGCACCCTATTGCTGATAATAATTTTAATACTACACTTCTTATCTATTTCGTCGGGCTGAATATTAATATTACGTGTGACTAATAACACTTTTAGAGACAATTATTTACTTTTCATACACTAATACGAAAGCTAGGTAACCGGTTTAAAAGTTTTATGACTAATGTACATTAAAAATAATACTATTTGAAGAGCTCTTCAAGTAAAGAATACCTGTGTGTAATATTTGACTTGATATAATGTGATACATATTTTATAATAACGACTGTGTTGATTATTTACAAAATTGTAACTAACCAATATAATATAGTTTACATGAGAGAAATCTTTAAGTGTAGTCTGTGTGGAGTATTTTGTGCGTAGACTACCTAATTAATAATTGAAAATATTTTTTATTTTTACCAATTGTTTACGAAATTTGTATAATAATCTTAACAGGAGAATAGATAGACGTATCAGATTGATTGATGAATATTACAGTTGAGTGAAGTTTTTAAAACTCCTAAAACTTTCCCTTAGCTTTTCGAAAATTCCACTAAACTAGACTGTTTTTGTGACATTAATTAACTTAATTTTATGGGAAAATTTAATAAGTGTTTTATAGTCAAATTAAAATACGGTTAGTTTTTTTTTACATACCACTTTTGAAATAATAATAGATATCATTTGATTATCTACATAAAAACTTTATTACAATGATTTAATTATAAATAATGGTACATAATAAACTATTGATTTTATAGTTAGAAAGTATTATTTTATTATGTTATTATTATTATTGAAATTAAAAAATTAAATATACGAGTATTTTTATTGTGACTTTTTTTTTATTCGCGTTAAAACATTATTCAAGATAATAAACTTGAATCAATTTATTTAAAAACAAATTAATTTAGTTTATAATGATCAATAATTCCATTATTTTTATTTTTATTAAATTTATGTTCCGTAATCACCATTAATTGGAGAGATAGTAAAAAGATCGAAATTGGTTTTAAATTTGTAATAATCTAACATATGATTTTGTAAGGATAAAATTTTAGTAAAAAAAGTTTTTCGATATTATTTGATAGGTAGAATTAAAAAAAGTAAAAATTGATTAGTATTCGCATACAAAAGCCAACAGTGCGATTTTGTAGCTAGAAAATCACAAATTTACTATAAAATATACAGTGTAAAAGTATAACAATAAATAAAATGCGGTGTCAGAAGAGTCAGTAAAAATTTATGACCACGTATTTTCAGGCTAGATTAAGAATTATAGTAGGTACCCATAAGTTATCTAGAAATTGGTGTTCTTTGATTTTTAGCTTTAGTAAAGAAGCCATAGTATTTTATGTTTTTTTCTAAAAAATGTTACCAATTTTAAATCATGAACACTATTACAACGATAAATTACTCAGTGATTTGCAAATAATCAAAGAATATATCTAACTCATAATAGTGCCTTAATGATTAATGATACAGTAAAAAATTAAAAAATATTTTATCATTATTATTATATAACTTATTTTAATCATACAATCTAGACAATAATAAGAACAAAAGATAATGTTATGATATAATTTAAGAAAAAAAGCCTCTCACTGACGACAATCTTATAAATTTTTACGATTAAAATAAAATATCTATGCCTGATAACATCAAACCAATTATATAATAATATATTTTTCTATATTAACTTAAATTTTGTATGTTGTGTGTTAACCGATTTAATAATCACATGAATATCTAAGCTAAAAACATGCTGGTTATTTTGGTTCTAACTTATAATAATATGTACATATTTGATAAATACCACACACTATGATTCCTTAACTAGATAATGCTTAAAAATTTATCTTCACGACTCCCAACAGGATAATAAAAAAAATAATAAATAATGAATTTTTAAATCAAAAACCAATCAAATCAAAGATAAAACTTAACTTTTTAAGAAAACTTGAAATACAATTTATTTTATTTTTTCTGAATTTGTAATAATGTTAGAGTTTGAAAAACAAATAAAATATTATGTTATCCATGATAATCTATACATAAAATCAAAAAAAACTTTTAGAGGTTATATCATTAACGAAAAACAGTTATTTTAAATTTATATTAGGTACAAATAGAAGATAAAATAATCTCCTAAAGTGAATGATTTAAATTCATAGTATAGATAATTATAATGATAAGTTTAGTTCGTGGTTTTTTAAGTCACGTGTAATCGATGGTTTAAAGAGTAATTACATAATATTTATAGCATTATGCATAATAAAAGGTATTTATTCACAAATTACATTCCAATATTAACTTTTAACAACATTCTAATGAAATAAATAAATTTAGGTCTTGTATGAAGCTTACATTTTACAATCGCAAAGATAACACTTTTCGCTATCTAAATACTCAAAAAAAAAAAAAAAAACAACAGATCTTCACCACACAATACAATTCGTATAGATTTATAGACGTTTTACAAATTGTGACATACGAGAGATAATAAACATTCCATCCACACCCAGACAAAGCCAACAAATTTTTGAACGTCACCTGCAATAAAAACATGTAACTATATCTGTACCATGTTTACACATAGTTCCGTCAATAACGACGTTTATCTGTTCTCTTTTATATTACAACTTACGTGTGTAATGCCTTACTATGATAACAAAAATAATACTCAATAAAATAACAAGAATTATTATTTTATAATTTCGTTACGTATATGCAGTGGTTTTATGAACACACGAGTTTAAGCGTTACACTAAAAAGAGTGTTTATTTTATCATATTAACTTAACCTAAACCTTCGGGTTACATGTTCTTGTACCAAATTTGTTTTGGATTTTGCACAATAACTAATATCCAGAAATGTTATTGTATGTTCTTTTGTGTGTTAAAACCGTGATGGTACAACTATGGAATAATCGGCTTACAGCGGTCAAAATGACTGCAAATGTCTGCTGCTGCCATAACAACATCATGAATAAGCTAACAGAAGTTGTAAACTTTTCGTCAGCAAACGAAAGCTTATTAAATTTATTATTTCAACGTAGACACAGAGTCAGAGATTAATAATATTCTTTCATCTTCTTGAACTTTTTATAAAAAATAATATGATTTGAACATTGATAGTAATTTTGTTTCCTTTTCAATCGCAATGTCTAATATATATTTTGTATCTAATATTTCTTCTGATTTTTATTTCATCTTTAGTGATTTTCTAATAAAATTTAAAGAGGACTATAACTATTGGTTCAATAGCCATTAACATTTGTGTCCAAATTCCATAAGTAATTTAATCATAATTACAAACATCAAATATGATTAATTAAATATTTTTTGAATGATTTGCACAAAAATATGTATTGTGCACATCCAGTTAGCTATCTCTTACTTACCTTCTATTTCACATTTTACATGTAATTAATTCTAGTCTTACTATGGTATAATTTCTCATTTAATCTTTCACGAGTATGTATGAACTAAGTTAAAGGTCTTAGTAAATAAGATTAAAACATAATATAATGTATTTTATATTTTATTGTTACTCAACAAAGAGATAATGCACATTTTAGTAACTGGAGCGCAACGTTGTCTTTAAAAGAAGCGAGTTGAATACAAAGATGATTGTACTCTAGATCCTTTTGCAGACGTATGCCTAATTATATCTTATTACCGAGCATATATTGCATATACACGATGGTATTATAACTTTTAAGAAGAAGTATAATAATTTATACTGTAAAAAAAGAAAAAATTTGATATTAAAAACTTAATTAGTTTTGGTTTTACCCCTTCTTCATGACAAAATGTTTATAAAATAGGAATAAACTTAAACATTTACAAGAAAATTATGTATTAATTGAAAAATAAATTAAAAAAAATTATTTTGTGTTACATGTAGATTGTTAAAAAAATAAAATTATTTTAATAAAAAAAGTTGTCTTCAAAATCTTAGACCGTTCAATAACGGAATATTATTGTAATTTCGAAGACAAACGTTTAATAGACAATTCGAAAATACGAATATCAATTTTTATATAGTTTCACAGTTAATATAAATCCTATGTTTTTTTTTACTTCATATGTTTGTAAACTTTAAATTTTTGACAATTACTAATTTAAAACACAACAGATTATTACTATGAACTATTACTATTACTATTATTACTATGAACAAGAATCGAACCCAAATCTTACAAAATGGGCCACTGACGATCTACCAATCATAACAGTACAACGCATCAGTAAATGTTTCGTTAATTTTTCACATGTAAGTAATTTTATAATTATTCTTAACTACTGGCTTTAATTATTTAAATTATTTATAAATTTATGTTTATCGATAATTGTTTAAACTTATAATAGCTGCCGCACTACAGCCGATCAAATTTTCGAATGAACTTATATTTGTTTTAAATATGTAATATAATTTTATACATACAAAGTATTCAAAAAGTCAGGAAACATGACAATTCTTACAAATAAGAAAACCAAGACAATGACATATTTAGAGATAGATTAAGTTGGTTAGAGCTTAGGGTGGAATTTTGTATAAACGCATTTTACTTAAAATATTTCTATGGAGCGTCAAAAAAAGGGGCGACTAAAAGTTAAGTACATCGCTGTCAATTAAAATCCTTTTTTTTACTTATTAAATATTATATCATGTGCTATGTAACAAAACCTTGTAGGTCACATTTTATCAATTTTACAGGAGAGACAAAGCATTTGTCATTGAAGAAATTATGTTAAGTTTTTGAACAATAACATTAAATATCATTAAAAAATTTATATTATAGTTAAATTTTTTCATAGTATCCGATCTCAAGTAATTAAGTGTATGCAATTGAATTGTGTAAAGCACAGAAGGAAGAAATAAAATAGATTACACGTAGAAGAGTAGCTCTCGAGTGGTATGAAATATTAACTATATTAAAGTAAAGGGTTATTGTACTTATAAACTTGTCAAGAATTTA